GACACACCTTTGACACCAAGGGTACTGAGAGGAAGATTGTGGAGTTAAAAAAGAAAAGAGAGGTATTTTAGAGATGAAGAGACAAAGAGAAGAGTAGGGTAGCTCATTACACTACAGCTGCTATAACATTACACGGCTTTGTGAAGACTCACAAAACGCTGTTTGTATTCTTGAAACCCAGCAAAAAGCAACCTGAAAGTGTTTGTTGGTTTTATCTCATAAACAAACATGATGATTAATTTCTTGCTGAAAATGGAATTTAACAATTTGCTGTTGAGAGATTAAGTTAGAATGCATTTAAACATATTTATGTAAAAATAATCAAGATGTGACTGCCCACTGCCATCTTTACAATTCCTTTTTGCAATTCATTAGCTAACTTAGCTAAGCCTCTGGCTAGTGAACGTCATGGCTAATTAAGGTCTCCTGTTTGGGAACGCTTTGGTTTCCTGGTGAAATACATCAGTGGATAAATACAGATGGATAAGATGACTTATTTGTTAATTGTGCTCCAGTCTGTGGCGCCACTTGATATGTTCATTGAGTGGTAACGTTTTGGCAACATGTGAAACTTTAAACAGCCTTTCTGTGGTTATTGGATCACTTATTCGTAGACGTTTGCAGCAGTTTTCTATTTTTATAGTCCATTTATATGAATTTGGTTTCATTTAATTTAAATTTTAAAAAATTTATAAACTGTTGATGTTTACAAAAGTTCATGATAAATGACAAGCAATTTTATGACTTCTATTTTTTCCATTACTGTACCAAAAATGAACCAAACCAAGGTACATGCTGGGCCACAATTTTTGCATACTGTTACACCCCTAGTAGTTTTTAAGTGGGTAACACTGTGAAGTCAAACCAGTCGTGTCTTTTGTTAAGGCCAGTTCCAAACTGAAGTCAAGTGGTGCTAGGGGAGCTGTCCAACTGCCATGGTGCTGAAATTGACCTGTAAAAAGATATTAGTGAAAACCACTCACCCCAACTGGTGAACTCCCACTTCATTTCCACATAGAAGTCTCGTGCCTGTAAGAGAACAATGACACTTTTACCAAAGCAAAAAGTTTTCCATGCTCCACATCCTCTGTTTGTGCATCTTGACAGGTGTGAAAACACTAGAAGGATACTGTTGCCATAATAAAAAGGAAACTGAAACTTTGTCCTGCGCTGAAAAGGAAAAAAAAAAAAAAAAACCTTTAACAAAATTTGGACAAGCGGCTGAGGATCCAGTCTCGCTCTGTGGAGGCAGGGTGTCAGACCCAAAGGCTTACATTTTTGTAAATCCAGTGGCCAACTGGAAGACTACTCTACCTGTCTCAATTTGCTGAGCAGCTCTGGGATGCCGGCCAGTCTCTCAGTGGCACGCTTAAAGTCTCTGTATTGAAGCACCAGCTGAACCAACTCAGGGTCCCCGGTGCTCACCGCCTCCTGCAAGACTGAAACATAAATCCACGTTTAATGATCATAAGTGTTTACTTACTCGCTCCCTCAGCACCCTCTGAACAAGAAACGGAGAGCCACAGCAGAGCACTCACTGGTCCAGCCCTGTGCGTTTATGTGCGTCGGGTCTGCAGAGTGTCTGAGCAGCACCCGGGTTGACTCCAGGTGGCCCAGGCACACAGCCAGCTCCAGCGGGGTGCGCCCTCTCGGATCCGGGCGCTCCACATCCTGCTACAGAGCCAAACACACAAGCAGCATCAGCGAAGTGCTGTGCGACATAACAAAGGCATCTGTAAAAACCCATCAACCACTAGCTCCTCACTTACCTCCTTCTTCTGCAGCTCTCGATCAAGCTCCAGATACTGATTGTTCCAGACCAGAACATGCAGAGGAAACGTTTCTAGAGCCATGGTTGTTGGCCGCCTGGCAGTCAAACTGAAGTAAAGCTATGTTTGCAATACGAGTTCTCCGGCAAACAGATTGCGTTGGCACCACAGCAGAGTGCAGTTCAGCGCCGATCGGAACAGCTGGTTAGCTAGCTGGCTTAGTTAAACAGCAGGAAATGGTTGAACGCTGAAAGCAAGTCCGTCACTGGAAACCTGTCACTAAATACACCTACCCAAGTAGCTAATGTTGGAGAGCAAGCAAACAAACTAGAATATTGTGCGTGCCTATCTAAATTAGTGGGCTGAGTTAGACGATCTAACTCAGCCCACTAATTTGATGTAGCTAGTTAGTGTTATCGAACAGCTAGCTGCGCTAACGTTAGCTAACTGGCTAATAACATTGCTTTGCTAACGTTAGCTAACTGGCTAATAACAACATTGCTTCCTGCTCCTCTTGGCACCGGCTTTCCATTCTGGTCCAAGACAATTAATTTAGCCGGCCAAAAACGCAGCTCCCAGTCCGTTCATTTTTTTTCTTTTTTCACAATATGTATGTTCTTTAAGCAAATAAAATATGGGTGAAACGGCCGGCTGATAAAGTTAGCTGACTACCCCTCTGCTGCTGCAGCCATCGCCTCTTTATATTGCAGGGCTGTGCTGTCTGTTCAAATAAAGCCAGATACGGCCTTTAAACTAGTTTCACATCCAGGTCACTCGAGTTGAGGGTATCCGATACGACTGTGGTGACAGCTGTTGCTTACTGCACTCAGCCTTGTGTGGCTAACTAACGATCATGACACCAGACCACACCTGTCACAATCCGCTATTTCTGTGCTTTTCTACGACGAGGTGCATTTACAGCTGCTGCAGCAGTTATTTATTTATTTAGACGTCGCTTTATTTCCAGGTTATGGAGACCAACTGGGTGGAGCTAGGGAGGAGATGGCATTTAATCTGGTTCTACAATGCAAATAAACAGAGCAATGCATGTAAATCTACCGCAGCAGCCATTAGACTATATGCAGTTCATCTCTCCTACTGTCAGGAAAATATGAGCCCCTGTTTGTCTTTTTTTATTTTTCTTGAAAAATAACATAACATGAAAAATGCTTCTGAAAATAATTACATTGCTACAGGATTCCCATTTTGACACTCTAAAAGAGGAAAGCACATTTACAGAAAAGTGTATATTTTATATACTTATACTCATTTTTGCAATAAGGTCAGGGAAGAAGTCTGGAAGGAAACGTTTGATACAGAACCAGTACAAAGAAATGCGCAACTCCCATACAGAATCATGTGTCTCTATGCTGACTGAACAAGGCCATGAAATCCTGTTAAAAGTAGACATTTTTCCATCCATGAACAGAAAAAAAGGTATCAAAGAGGAAATCCTGTTAAAAGTAGACATTTTTCATCCATGAACAGAAAAAAGGTATCAAAGAGTCAGTTTCACCTAGAATATTAACATGTTTTCTCTAAATGTTGTCTCTGTACAAAAACAAAGAAGAGTTTGGAAATAATAGCACCTGAAATCTAACGGCTGTTGGAAAATGCACCATTTATCCGACACACCTACTCCTTGGCATACCCCACACACTTGATGCAACCTGCTCTTTGTTGGGGTGAGGTCTTGTTGCCATGCTGATTGCCTTCTCACAGTCCTACCCTACTATACAACCACATCCTCTCACTGTCCATATATACTCATCAAGTACTCCAGTGAACTACCACTGCACCCAAATGTATTAAGCAACTGGTAAACATAGGCCATCCCGTGAACTCAATTTATATGCAATGACGTGAACAACCTGCCATCTTTAGTCCAAAAAACAAACCAAAACGCAACATAACCAAAATAAAAAAGCTTCTGTGCATAAAGCATGTGTCATCACACACCTTAATATCTGCTCTCTAGTATCAGACACAAAATAACCATCCATTTGGAGCACTGAAGTGTAGCTGAAATCCACCAAGTTTAAATGGATCACATAAATTAAGACTTTACAGGGATGACCCAAACAGAATAATACACTTATAGCTCAAGGATGAAACTCAAATGTCTCTTTCCCATGGCAGGAGTTTGTGATGGGAGTCCCGACTGGCGTTGGTTATCCAATCAACGTGTAGTCTAATGCAGCTAATTAACAGCCCATATTCTCCCACTCCTGGTAATAAAAAAGACATGCTTTTTCACACAACATTAAATTCCCAAAAAACAGTTTAAAAAAAGCTCCTGAGTCTCTTTAGGTACATGGGAAAAATGTGTTGAAAAACAAACATTGTTCTAGCTGTAACAATCCTTTTCACTAACACCAGTTAAGGGAGTCGACCCTCACAGTGTAGACCCCACAAACAGGTGAACGTGAACCTCATCGCCCATCTGTCCTTTGTGTCACAGATTCACATCACGATCCACTTCCCCTGCTTTTGCACCTGAAATCCCATTTGCAGGTGCTTATGATATCCTCTGGATCAGTTTTTCATCTGATAGGCAGTAGAGCATGTTGACTGACAGCTCAGAGATGAAGGCCTCACAGGCGCTGCGTGAGACACCTTTACAGCCTCGCAGGTCAAGCAGTGAGATACAAGAAAGGCGCCGGAGATATTTTAGACAAGTGTCTGTCAGTTTACTGCAGCCTGGGAAAGAAACAGGTACACAGACATATCATTAATAGTGAAATAAATCTAGTGTGTGTGTGTGTGTGTGTATATATGTTCTCTCAAAAATGAGCTTTGTGACCTGCTTATGAGCTATTCCCATCGATCTCTCACCTCCCAGGTTGAGTTCTGCGAGTGTGTTCCGGGTGGATGAGCCTACTGCAGTCAGCAGGTTGATGGAGTGGTCGGTGAGCCTGTTGCAGTGGGAGAGGTCTAGTTTTGTTAAATGGGGCATGTGGCGGATCACCAGGCGCAAAGTGGAGTCACTGATGTCCAGGCCTGCTAGTCGCAAACACTGCATGCTCCGCAACTGGCTGCGATTGTCACAGCCTGAAGCAGAGCAGTCATTTGGGAAGAGCAGCAAAAGATGCAGAGATTATGTTAGAGTTTGATGAGGAAAATGGTCACAAGGGTGTAAAGTGAGAAAAAGCCAAGGGGTAGAATATAGGGAAAAACAACAACATGCAAAAGTCAACTATGAGATGAAGTAACAACTATAATGTCCAGCATATCTATCAATCAAACTGTAACCTGTGGGTCTACTCTCCTCACCTGGAGGGGTAACTAGATCCCTGATCTGAGAGTCTTTGACCCCATCAGCATAGCGCAGGTCCAGAGAACGAAGGAGAGGACAACCAGAGGAGCAGAGAGCTGAAACAGTTATCCAGGAACAACCTGCCAGCATCAGATCTTTCAGCCCTGCAAAATTAAAAGATTTAAATATAGTGTTTAATGTGTTACAGCACACAACCTATTGGTGGAAACATGACGAAGTTTGCATTAACTAATATATAGCGCAAATTCAGATAGATCAAGTACAAAATTGTTTAGAAATGTTGTACCCCGCCCTATCCCACTCTGACATCTTTAGACCCTGTGTTTATTTCATTCCCTCTGTGGCCACTGTTGTTAAAATCCACAGCGCAGTTCTTCCATGCCCGCGATGATCCAGGGTTATAAGATGCGTTTATTAAAACCAGTATAGCTCATTTGAAAAGACAACCCATGGAGGCTCTCTACTGCAGGTACAACCTAGGATGATGTAAAATGTAAACATCTTTATTTGACAATGTGACACTGTAATGCCGCTGAAAGCCACAGGCTCTATGGATTCAATAGTCCATATACATTAGTTATTACTGCTGCGCTACCCGACTGTCGCAACCGTCTCTGGCTGTCGGGACCAGATATGAAATAGTTTCAGAGACAGGGAAGGAGGGGCAAAGAGGAGCGGATGTTGCTTGAGTTTGTTTTGACTCAATTCACCCTTAACAATCAAAACGTAGAGGGAGTAGTTAATGCAGCTTTAACAGAACTTTACTATGGTCTAGCCACCTCAGCAGTCACATCATGTCAGTTCCAGGAATCACATTCATCCAGTTCAGCTTTCATTAATAGCACAGCAACAATTTAAGATTCTAAATTTTTGAACAAAAACCTTCAGTAAGTAGGTTGTGAGAAATATGGCGTGTGTACAACAGTTATTCACACTCATGTTAAACGACTCATAAGGACCAAACGTCTTGATCAGGGCATCATTAGAATTAACTACATGAACAAAAACAACATGAACAAAAGTGTATTTGTTTACTATATGATTTTTCTTTACACATATAATACTGACCATTTTGGAATTCAATAAAACTTGTGTGAAACACTGTTAAGTGTGTGTACATACCAGGCAGGCGGCCAACAAGCCAGTTTAGCTGTTTTTTAGAGATGTTGGTCCAAGAGAGGTCGAGTGTGACTGGCTGTCTCTTTATGATGCCCGTCAGAGCCTGGGGAGTGACGGTGCGGTTGACACTCAGGTCAATCCGTGCCCAAAGCCGCTTGTCTAAACACCTACAGATGAGCACATGCTTATGAAGAACACACTCATTCAACTATTTGCTGAGAGATATGGCCCAATGACACTGCACATGGATAAACACCTTGCTATTGAGTTTGCATTTCATTTCGACTGCTACAGAATTATTGTTAATTAGCTATGTTGATCCACAGCCAGTGATGTTTGTCATTTCAGCAGGTGAAAGAAACAAATGGCCAAGACCTGTTTTCTTTGCTCTTCTTCACTAATAAAGAATGAGGATACATAAAACATTTGATTAAAGATTTGTTATTGTCTGAACTTGATGAATTTAAGTGTTTGACTGACCAGGAACCAGATCCAAAATGAACCTAGCTATCAGAACCAATCTTTAAACAAAATATGACAGACAATAGAAAAAGAGGTCTTACCATTTGTACCAATTCTTGCAGACGGCCATGCAGACACAGAGATTTGCTCGACTTAAGTAGCGGAAGACAGACACCCACACCTCCTTCTCACAGCCAGGCCCACTCCCACCACTCTCCCTGTCCAACTCGCTCCCTCCTTCCTGCAGGGCAGACAGAGGGATACGGAGATGGGGAAGCTCAGAGGATGAAGAAGAGGAGGCGCCATTATTGAGTTTAGTTGGCCTGTTTGGTCTCATTCTTTTAGAGGCCTCCAACCTCTCTGAGAGGGAGAGGTCTGTGTGTCCACTGCGAGCGTGTGGTGTGGTGTGTCTAGTGGAGTGCTGATCAGGACAGGGGATATGATTTCTAATAGGGGGTCTGGCAAGGACTCTGGTCTGGCTGTGTATCATGGACGTGGCAGTTTGAGGGGCAATAGCCTCTAATTTGGGGACAATGGCTGATGGGTCACGCTTGGCTCTAGCTGGCCTTTGGAGTGTCACTTTAAGGTGCGAGCCATCCTTGTCCCCCATTTGACAGTCCTGCTCCATCTCCTCTTCGTCATCCTCCTCTGCACCATTTTGGTTGGCTTCTTCTCTCCCTTCCTCTTCTCTTTCTTTGGCTGCCTGTCCTCCACGCTTCGACTCAGGCTGGTTCTCTTTATCTCCTCTCCTTTCACTGTTCTGCCCCCTCTCCTCTTCCTGATCGTCATCGCTGCTGCTGCTGTTGGTGCTGCTGCTGCTGCTGTCCTCACTCTCCTCCTCCAACTCTCCATGGCCTCTACCACCTCCGATTCCTCTTCCAGCTCCTCCTCCCCGCAGCCTCACTCCTCTTCCCCTCCCTCTGCGGGGCTCTCCTTTGGGCACAAGTACTAGACCTAGGGAAGACTGCTGCTGTTGGAAGGATCCAGTCCCTCCTGGAGAGCTGTGGTAAGGGGAGCCACTAGCCCAGGTGGGGCCCCGGGCTCTGCTGTGAGATAGTCTATTGGTTGGAGAGCGCAGCCGGGACAACAGTCTGGAGCCCAGCAGCCTGGGAGAACGATCTAGAGATGAATGTTTCTGTTGGAAGGGAAGGAGCAAAAAGTATGGCAAATGAAAGCAAAATGATGTCTATTTCAAACTCGCAATCCAGTGCTACAATAGGGTGTGAGCAGCACTGTCATTTTAACATTTACCTTCAAATATTAGTACCCAAAGAGGTTTTTCAAAAATCATGAAAGGTTTCATAACTGACTGCCACATCATAGCTACAAGGATGTTTAACAGTAACATTAATAACAAAAACTTCATTTTACAAACAATCATCATCACAGAAGTGGATCTATAGGAAACCAAGTTCCCAGGATGGAACTACACAACCAGTCAAAAAGGCTAGACACACTTTCACAGTGAACTGAACATGATTGTGTTCAAATTACATATCCACTGCAGTAACATTCACATGCAATACAGAATCACTGCAAAAATAAGTACACTGCTTACCACTAAGATTTTGCTGCGCTCCAATTTTATCTGCAACACACAGAAAAGAGTTTACGGAACAAGGTAATCCACAAATAAAGGAAATGCATAAACACATATTTATACACTATTTTAAGTACAAAGAGGAGCCAAGAGGTGGCATCTGAAACCAATATCAGGGTAACAGCAAGGTTTATAAAGAGACTAGAATTTTTTAGGATCTTTATAGTTGTTTTTTTTTTTTTTAAAGGTCTTCAGTGGCTAAAATATGGCTCTTTGATTTTGGATTCTTAAGCCTGATTTATGGTTCTGCGTTGAATCTAATGCTTTAAGCTACACAAGTGCCCTGCACCATTGTGAGCTGGTGTGTCTGCCTCTCTCTGCAATTACACCAGCAGAACACTAGCTGGCAGTGGGGTTTCTATGACACTGTGTTGCATTTCTTTGCGATTTACAAACAATGGTGACTGAAACTGAGAAGACTGCATTGGAGATAAAACTAAGACACTTAAGAGCAGCTACTTTTACTGAAATTACTACAGATAAGAGAGAGAACTTTGGAGGAGATGGTGTGTACAACTAACGTGGCAGAATGAGGTAGGATTTTCTGTGCTTGCCTGGCCACTGAGAGACATGAATGAGGAAACGCAGTGCAACCAGAATTGTTGTTGCCTGTGTTGCTGCAACGTACATTTACATTTCTGGAGAGGTGCGGGTCAGGTTACGGTTTAGGCTATGGCATAGGGAATGAGGCTACAAACGACCTATGTCATAAGAATGGTGCAGATTCAACGCAGAACAACCAATGAAACAATTAAATCTTGATTTTTAAGTTTTTGAAAAGTGAAGGGAAAATTAAGGAACAGATTCAACGCAGAACAACCAATGAAACTTAACTCTGAATTTTTAGGTTTTTGAAAAGTGAAGGGAAAACTAAGGAAGAGGAGTTTCATTAACCAAAGACAATGAAATACAGCAAATTGTTGAAACTTTTATAAAGCATCTCCACTTTACCCTCTTCTTGAGTCTGAGCTCCAGTGCACTTGCTCTTTTGCGGTTCTCTTGATGCTGGAGTAACAGTTTCTGAGAAGGTGGTGGTGCTGTGGGTCGGGACGGGAGTTCACTGCGTCTCCCTCGTCTCATCCCTTCACCTACACCAATGCCTTCCCGGTATGCAAGTTTGGATGGTGGCAAGGAGGATGAGCCCTCCGACTCCTCACTTTCCTCATCGCTGGAAGACTGAGGTGGGAAGAACAGGAAGTGAGGGTAGGTAGGGTGGAAGAAGAAAAGATGCAATTGTTCATTTGAATATCAACATCAACCATACAATAACTGGTGGAAGTTCCTGAAAATGTCAACTTTGCTGAGAAAGGAAACGTGCCCTAGAGATAGAATGAACCTGAGAACAAAGAGAGGAAAAAAAGAGGCAAGTGCTAGCAAGACAATGTGTGTTTGTTACCTCTGATGCTGTATCTTTGCCCTGGTAACATTTGGGACATTCCCAGCAGCTTGGCAAATCTTTATTGATCTTTCCCTCAGCAGGATCCTGAAACAGAGAACAGTTAAAAGTTTGAAATGCAGATTTGTAGGCAGCAAAACAAACCATACGTTATGTATTCAGTTTACTGCCTTCACCATGTCTGAAGCTGATTACCTTAATGCACTGACGATGGGCAATCTGTGAGCAGACAGAGCACTCCATGAGTGGATTTGTGCTCGGATTCGATTCATCTGATTCACCTTCTCCACATATGGCACATCGTGCTGTATTTGGCAAGGCAGGCTAGAGGAATACATGCATGTTATTTACACTGGTGTAAAATAACGTGAAAACTTGAGATTGGATGCTGATTTAAAAAAAAAAAACAAAAACAAAAAAACAAACACGTTCCATACATACAAAGACAACAATGGGTATGTTGACTCACCGCTAAACACTGTCTCATGACACAGCTCTTCTTCATTCGCCCAGGCCCACCAAACTTCCTCATATCATGACAGTATTGGCAAGTGCCACACTCCTTCCTGCGGCATGCGGCACAGCGTTTGCACCTCACCCGTCTGCGCCTCAGAGCATTGATGGAGGAGTGTTTGGTGGGCCTCCGGTGGAGAGGGGGACCCAAGCGAGGACGGTAAAGTGCAGGGGGAGGGGGAATAGGAGGCTGGTACCATGATGGCTGTAAAAAAATACACATATATATATATCAGCTTAGCATAAAAACATTTTATCTTACTAACATGGTGTATTTTAATAGCAATTATAAAGTAAGAAAAGAAGGTTAAAAGTAGCTGAAGCAGTAATTCTAAATACACCATATCCGTTCATGAACAGATATGTCATCTCTCCACAGAAGAATGTTCTCATTTACTCCCATCTAGCGGGACTTGTTTAAAATTAGTTCCCTACTGACCCTTTTGGGCCACTTGACAATGGGCTCTCCAGTGTATGACAGCTTGGGGTCATCATTTCCATGCCGAGTCAGAACAGCCTGAACCAAGAGAGAAAAGAGGAGCATTAATTAAAATAAATTATGCAAGTTTCCATGGCATAGCAAAATAAAAGCAGTAGCAGCCAACTATGTAATATTAATTTGAAAGTAGTGTATCCAGTGTGACTGAGATGAACTGCAGTGCACCTACCCTCATGGCCTCAAGCAGGGCTGCTGCATTCCTGATGCCTGCAGGGACACACTTCTTTTGGGGCGGCAGCTCCTCCAGCTTCCCTAAGAGGTTCCACAGTCCCTCCAACTCAAAGGGGGTCAGCATGTACTGTGGCCTGGTAACTTCAGCTACCTCTTCTTTGAGGGTGTCTTCCTTGATCTTGACCTCCACAATTTCAGTGTCACTCTCAACTCCATTGGAGGTACCATTCCCAGCGTTATCACTGGTTTCAATATCAGCTTGGGTCAGTCCTGAAAAGTGGATAGATTGGTTGAATTTCAAGTCAGTGATGTAGTATTTGTGTGTAATTTATGCACAGTGTATTCATATGCCTGTGTGAATAAGAAAATTTAGATCCTCACCTATGCCAAGGGAGTATTTTTGGAACTCAGGGGTGAGGTGGGAGATGTTGGTCAGACAGTAAAGATATCTCTCCAGGACATACCAGCACATCTCATAGTAGAATGGGTAGCGGAACTTTGCTGGCACCTAGAGGAAAAAAAAAACAATCAGGTTTTTAAAAAAAATATAAAAAAATACTGGTTTAATAATTTGTATCCTCAAGACCCCATTATGTCAAATACTACCATGAAACATTAATATGTATACATCTACAGCTGCTGAATGCACTTCATCTTTACGACAAGTATATAACAACTTTGGTGTGGTTTCCACTTCTGCTTAGAAGGATGTGGGGTAAATGTGTTGTTGACGCAGTGGCTGCATCCCCTAGCACACTCAGCCATCTCTAGCTGAGAAGTGACACTCTCTAAAAAGTGGGTTGTAGCCAAGCAGAACTAAATGTGCACTACAGCTATGATTACTTCAACTTAATTAAATGACTTTTCAGATTCAAATCTGCATCCTTATGTACAGATGTGCAATATTATTAGGAAGCATACCACGACATGACCAATCCACATAAAAAACATCCGGCTGTGACTGTGTTTTTTTGTGCCTTAGCAATCCCTGGTCTCATGTCACCTTACATAAAAATTACTAATGAGATGCACTCAGTGAGGTATACAGGTTTAAATATGAGTAAAATAGAGCACTAGTATTGGATTGTTATTGGGAGAGAAATAAGTAAATAATTAGTGCATCCATTGCTTGATGGGTTTTAAAAATTCTTAAAATTATAGCCACACGTTTGAAAAATTATTCAGTCACCACCATTTTTCTATTGTGAGTAACCTCACAGAATAAGATCGAATCATGCTTTGCATAATTCCAAAATCTGGAGCAGTCATGAATGGCAAGAGGGCTGACTTATGTCAAGAGAAGGTCTACAGTGAATGTGAGGTACTGCTCACCCGTGTCCGATCCTCAATGCTGTAGATGTTGAGTTGCATGGGGATGTTAAAGCTGTGGAGGAAATTCCCCCCAAACACCAACGTGTCCTCTGGTGTGTACACAGCATGGATCCACCCTACAACATTCAAGACAGGATGCTAGAGGCATGTAGTGGTGGGGTGTTTTCTTACAGGCAAGAGTAGACATGCTGTATGTAACTGTATACATTACAAGTCTGTATGTATCATTGTTAAATTACAGTAACAGACCTGATGGGATTATGAAGGTGTTGGACTGCTTGAGCTCTATCCTCTGACAGTCATGGCACTTGTCCCCCAAGAAGATATCTCCCTGTTTTCCTGATAAAACCCAGTTCTCATACATTTCCAGGTTCTGTGGTGTAGGTGGAATTAACCAGAACACCTGCAAGAGACACAGATAAAGTCTTGTATGGTAGGTCTAAGGTCAACAAATACAGAAAAATATGTGCCTGGCACTAATGTGCATTCATGGGACTGATGGAGCATTAGCCCAGAGTCACATCTACATTTATGTTGACAGCATGACTGAACTAGAGTAAAGTTTTCAAAAAAGGCCAATACAAGCAGCCAAACCCTAAAATCTGTGGTTATTGAGTGATAGCCAGACTGACCTTTCCTCCTCGAAGGACATGGTACCAGACTGAAGTGCCTCCAAAGTCAATGTGGAAATCTGTGAAGCAGCCCTGCACACTCATGAGACAGTACCTGAGAGAAATGGACAAACAGGCATTAAGGAACTTTGAATTTAACAAACTAAAGATTATCACTGACACAGGAGATGTGATCAGTATAATGTCTCAACTACAACACAGCAATACATATCTCAGGGTCTGCCGTTTACTCACTTCTGTACTTTGGGATAATGCATGTCTATGATGGCATTAGTAGAGTCTCTCTGTCTCTCCTTGAGATGACGGGGCCACATGTTGTCCACCCAATCAATAAGGTCCACCTGGATTATTTAGAAAAAAATGGTATAAAACACAGTCAACATGTCTGCAGCAAAAGCACAACTGTTTGATACATAACACTCAACTGTATGTTGACAAAATATTGCTATCTCTCTGGGACCAAGCCAAAGCTTTAAACTGGTGACTGTCTGTGGCATTGTCCTGTTCTCTCTGCTGGACACACTCCTGCACCGCTGCAGAGGAGCTGCTCCACAAGAATTCAACTCATTTTCATACACACAGCTCATTAGACTCTGTTAGCTACATAAAAATAGTAAAATAGTGTGTTTTCTTCCCATTCACAATTCACTACAATCAGGATAAGGAGCATGGTCTAGTGGAGGAAAACAAAACCATAGGGGGAATGAAGAGATCACATTTCTACATGTTTGTTGTTGCGTTATGCTTGTTCAACAGTTGTTAAATACTTTCTCTATTACTGATGGATTTTGTTGCATATAGTGTTGACATCTCTGTAAAATGCAACCTCATACCTATATCAGACCGGGAGGGAGGGGGCACTCGTAGAACACGCAGAGCAAGGAATCAGAGCTCAGAGTCTTCACTCAAAACATCACTTTTCTTGTCATCCCTTATCTTAGAATAACCCCTAGCAGTGGATATTTTTTCTCCATCACCTAACGACCTACCATCAGTGCAAGGTTAATCTAATGTTGCAGTTAATTAGCATCTGTGTGTACTTTTGGACAACATTTATGAGTACAACTACTGAAGAATGGTATCACACACACCATACTGGTATTGGTGCATTCCTACATTAAAGCCATCAAAGCAGCAAACACACAATATATAGAATAATTAGACTGTGAATAATGTGATTTCTGTTGATTCACCTACACATCACATATTTTGTGACTTGCAGGAATGTTTTATTTGTAATTCTAACACGGCATTATCAATGTGCACATAAAGTTGTAAAGCCCTGAGGTGTGAAGCTGTGCGCATTCTCACTGAAGCCGGCCGTTTGACTAGGTTCTCTAGCTTGGTGTGGCTAAACTCCAGGCTGATGACATTGTAGAGTTTTTCTCTTTCTGATGCTGGTGTCTCATAGTAGCGTCGCCACTGAGCCATCGACATCTCGATTCCTTTCTGCGTGTTCACATCCATCACATCCACAATGCGTCGACTGCCTGTTAAGTAAATTAAAAGGGGTTCAACATCTGAAACACTGTATATCTAAATTCACTCTGCTAATATGTATTAAAATATGTAAAAATAAAAAATAAAAAAAAAATTTTTTAAATGCACAGCAACTTTAGCACAAACAATATTGTCAGTGTCTCAAAAAGGCAATGATAACAGAAGAAGAAGCAGCTTTATTTTATTGTAACATTGTGACGCGCACAATAAAATTTTGTTTGGAGCCGAGGGCCCCGGGCCATTGCGTGCATGCGCACCGCGATCACGGGCAACTTGGGGGGTTCAGTGTTCTTGCCCAAGGACACTTTGACATGTGGACTGCAGGCACAGAGATTCAAACCCTCAACCTTCCGGTTGGGAGACGACTGCTCTACCCGCACCACTGTCGCCCACACACACACTAAAAAATATAACAGTCAGTAGTAACTGCTGTTAATATGAACACCTAACATATACAGTCTTGATAGAGGTCCCATATATTATTGTTTTTTTATACTGTGACAGGCACATACTGAGATACAGACTGTGACATTTTACATATGAAAAATCAACAAGTCAATGTTCTGAGTTGAACAAACTACTACAGATAATTGCATTTTCATTATTCATCAGCAACATATTCACCAATATCAGTATATCTGCACTAAAGTAATAACAGCTCTACAAAGATTTGGTATGTTTACTCTGAAAGGGCAAAAATCTGGATCTTACCAACAAACAACTTGACATCACTCACACTGAAATCAGGGTCTGGCATTCTGCAAGAGAAAGGCAATTCCTTGTGATTGTTTTCTTCTGGACACACAAACAGGTTCATTGGTGCTGGCTCTCAAATTATTTAAAACAAAAAAAAATTTGAAAAAGAAATAACCTATGATAAAACAATAGACAAATGCAACTTACTGAATGCCAAGTCCATCAGTTGTCTCAAAGATAATGGGGTCTCTGAGCCCTTCCCTCTGGATGTATTCAAATGTGAACTCTAGAAAAGAGATACACACAGCGAGACAATCATCAAAAAATGCAAACTTACTGAAACCCTATGAACTGGCAGGGGAACATCTGACTGATCAACATGAGGGTGAAAACTGCTGTGTGAACCAAAACAGCACATAGAACAAACAGCTAACCTTAATTTCCCTCAAATGACATTAAATACAGTATGTTCAGGTGAAGGTTCCGGGTTCGGGCCCCACCCGGGACCTTTCTGTGTGGAGTTTGCATGTTCTCCCCGTGCTCACGTGGGTTCTCTCCGGGTACTCCGGCTTCCTCCCACAGTCCAAAGACATGCAGCTTAGGTTGATTGGTGTCTCTAAATTGCCCATAGGAGTGCGTGTGCGTGTGTGTGGTTGTTCGTCTATGTGTTAGCCCTGCGATGGATTGGTGACCCCGTTCAGGGATTTGGCGGTAGGAAATGAATGAATGAATTTCTACAATCTCTCATTTCATTAGCTGGTAGCTCACCTTTACCCTCCATGTGTTTGACCAAGTCAGATCCAAATCTACTACACTGCAACTTTTCATCCAGGTCAAACATTCTCTTCCCTTCGATTTCATCATCTGAGATTCCATCGTCCTGGTACCGGCGCCGTGTACCTGTACGCTGTGGACATAAAATTTCTGTTAACCTGTATATTAGATTTGAACATGATATGAAGTGAGAAGCAAAATGTTGATGGGAGGAGACAGCCAGAATAACTGCCAGTAAAAAATACAGGATGTCTTACTGCATTTAAGATATTTCAGTGCCATGACATAGCGTCCTTATCGCAGCTGATCAGACAGACTGCAATGCTGATGTCAAGATCACATAAACGCATCTAACCAAGTGTAGTCAAAATCACAACACAGGTGACAACTAGTATCATTAATTTGTCACAAAAATTCAGCTACTGAGTTACTGATTCTGATCCACAACCAATAAAATTGAAATCCGAAATTTAGGGGGAAAAAAAAAAAAAAAAAAAAAAAAATCCAAGAACCCCCTGCAACGCCGTTTGTCATATTTTTAAAATGTTCTTATTGGCATCTAATTGCTAAGACATGAGGTGACACCCTTGGGAGTTATCTCAGTGGTAAAAAGGAACTAGTGACCCAAGACAAGGATAAAAATCCACAAATCAATTCAAGCTGATCAGTCAGCCAGCTACCAAATCAGTTCTTGCAGACCCCAAACAATACAGCACTACAATGGCAGAGGTTAATCTTCCACACACGCTCCCCATTTTACTCCCCTCCTGCCATCTACCCTAGGCAGCATTGCTTGGCTAGACAGATGGATAAAGCACAGCACCCCTGCTCTAAGATCTCCCCACCCCCATCCTTTTAACATTATAATGGTGACATCTAAACATGATAGGTCAACTTACTTACTTACTTTCAAAATCAAAGGATTCACATTGCAGCTGGGAACATTTCAACATTACTAAAGAAAACCAGGATTTCATATAAAATAAAAACAACAAAGGGAATTGTGAACAGCAATTGGGCAACACTGTATTGGGTAGTTTTAGTGAATCATTTTCTGTGTTCAACAAAGAGGCAAAAACATCCTTCCCAAAACCTATAAACAATGGCAGAATATCCCT